GCAAGATTATACCTTAATCCAGCCTCTGGCAGTATTAACAGCAAGCTTGTACATTGAGCCTTGATTCCACGCTTTAATTAATTAAAAATTCACGCTGAACGCTCATTAAAAAGTAAGAAAATATTTCTAATCCGTATATGCTGCTCCTACCGACGAGTTTCACCGTCTTCTTAAAACTCATTTATCGGTGAACGAAATGCAACTTATTTCTGCCATAATAATAAACAAATTATGACGTAAATATTCATTCAGCTTTTGTCCACGTTTCGTTGCAGAGTTTATCATATTAAATTTTATTAGAAACAAATTTAAGTAAGAGATTTGGAACCTTTTTTTTTAAATTATGTCATAAATGAGAGCACATGATATATTTCATATAACAAATAATCTTCTTTCGAGATATAATGTCCTTTCATTCAATTGACTGTAAAATTGTTGTTTAACTAGGTATATAATAATAATAATAAAATATAATTGGTAGATACCATATTTATTAAGTGCACAATGGGTGTAAGATGGCGATTTTCCTTGAGTTTTCGATTTATTCATATACAATGCATTATCATTTAGGCATGCAAATTGCAAATTAAATTTGAGACGTAAAGATAATAAATACGTTACATTGTTAATGTCAAGCTTAGTTGTAAATTAATTAAATTGATCATTAATAACGCAGTATATCTTTCTAAAAATTAGGTAGAGATATTCAATCATAATTTCCAAATCATCGTGCTCACTTCATCGCAAAAACTTTCTCGAAACCAGTTGAAGATTTTGGTAGGCGAATGAGAGGCCAGCGATGGTCGCCTATGCTTCAGGGCCTCACTGTGGCCTCACGCTCAGTGTTTATACAGCTGCAGGGCCTCGTTTTGGCCTCACGCTCAGTGCCTCTACAGCTGCAGGGCCTCATTATGGCCTCACGCGGCAGTTAAACCGGGCAGTTAGCGTGGTATCTGTTCCAGAATTACCCATTTAACTGTTCCTCCGAGGTAACAATATTTAGAAGCTAACTGTACGATACCGGGCTAAACACGGCCGGTAACTGTACTGAACTGTAACGACTGCGTAAAGTAACCCTTCGCGCTGCACCGAACAGAAGTAGGGACTGTACCGCGCAAAACTGTCGGTGCGCAGTATAACTACGCGGCTGTGAGGTTGGTGATACGCTGCGCCTAATGAACTGTACGAAAATTGCGGCGATGTAATGCGATGCGCGACTGTACCAATAGCACTACAATTAAGTGCATCTTCAACTCATATAGTCGCAGTGACTGTACCACTGGTCGTAGTGACTGTACCGACATTCATAACTGTACCGCCTGTCACAGCGACTGTTGTGCCATTTGCAGTAACTGTGTCGCCAGTCTCAGTGACTGCACCGCCATTGACGCGACTGTACCTCTAGCCGTAGTGACTGCACCGTCAGTCGCAGTAACTGTACCGTTATTCACGAGATTGTACCGCCAGCAGTAGTGACTGTAGCGCCATTCCCAGCAAGCAATGTCAGGTTGAATCAACGTTGATTCAACGACACTTGCGGCGTTGAAATAACGTTGAATATTACTTTAGAATGAAAATTGAAGCAACGTCATTTTTTTACATCGTACATTTCGACGTTGTTTCAACGTTTAAATCGTGTTGACATCCAACGATGAGATCGCGAACATATATATGCGATTAGAAAGCCAGAAGTTAACACGATTTCAACGCTCAAACAACATCGAAATGAACGATGTTGAAAAAATGACGTTGCTTCAATTTTCATTCTAAACTAATGATCAACGTTATTTCAATGTCGTGAGTTTCGTTGAATCAACGTTGATTCAACCTGACATTGCCTGCTGGGATTGACGCGGCTGTACCGCCAGCAGTGGTGACTGTACCGTCAGTTTCAATGACTGTACTGACGGCCGTGGTGACTGTACCGTCAGTTTCAGTGACTGTACCGCCAGCTGTGGTGACTTTCAGTGAATACCATCAATTAAAAATGGTCTCTTAAATCCTGTTATTTTTATCATGGTGCATTTATTCGTCATGCTTGAAAACTCCTGTTCCGTCTACACAATTAACATAAGAACAATTTTCAGCTGGTAGCTTCGAAAACGAAAATTTGTGACCGATCCACTTAAAATTACTTCGAGCGTCATCCGGTGCATGTATGCGTAAGATCCTTTGCGCTTGAAACTACGATCACCTTTTGCGGAACTTACGATCACCTTAAAACTCAAGTTCATCGTGGTACTTATACGATCACCGTAGAACCTACGATCATCGTATGTTGATCTTACGATCATCGCATGTGGAACTTACGATTATCATATGCGGAACTTACGATTATCGTATGTGGAACTTACGATCATCGTAGAACTTACTATCACCTTAGATCTTACGAACATCTGAGAAAAACAGTATCTTACGATCGCCCCACGAGATTTTTGAACCATCCAAACGCAGTATTCGTTTTTTTCTTCTACTTCATATATATGCTGTAAATTTATTTATTTAAACCAATCGTTTTCAGTGGGTACCTTTTAGTATTGTTATCCGCATCAGCGGCAAAAATGCTTGTGAGTTTAAGCAATAATCTTACGGTAGTCGTAAGTTCCACTGCGATCGTAAGTTCTACGACGAAAGCACCGGCATGCTCCATAACTGGCCATATAAATGATGTGACTCTGATTTCAAAATGGTCGTTTTTATTTGACATCACACTTGTTTATGTTGAACACAAATAATTGTATTTTACTTGGGAATACGCATCAAGTCTGGGCATTTGTACTCTACACGGAAAATGATATCATACCGGTTGAAATGCATTCTACATGACTAATTCCTTCGGAAACGTCGAAGTTCCTTTTACATAATAAATAGCATCCTACCTAGCTGCATAATGTATTCTATATCGTACAAAAAAGACGTAAAATAATGTGCTTCCAGAACTGGGATTTTGGTGACGAGTTTGTGTTAATATATACAACATACGAAAACGTTTCGCAGAAGTCCGGATGCTCAGATATAGCGACAACAAAATCATTACAAAAAATGATCACCTTATGAATCTCCCAGCTATCATTTAAGCATTTTGCGTTAATATTGTGAGGTATTTTATCTATAGGTTCGCTTGAGACCTTGTGCTCCAATTTTTATTTCGTGAATTAATAGATTGTTTCAAAAAGATGGGACATTTATATTGTCTATTTGAAAGAGTATTTTTTTGCATAATTGGGAACGTTTTCCAATGAATGAGAAAGAAATTCGCGTATATCACTGTCAGTTTGAAATATTATTTATGAATAAATATTAAAATATATTAGTTACGTCGTAATTATTCTCGTTTCGATAATAAAACGCGTCTGAGTATAAGCTCGTATATGCAAGTCTTTCGTTATTAAAGAATATTTCACGGATACGTTCCGTTATTGGGAAAAAATCCTAAGAAGCTATTTATAACGTTTCGATTGGCATAATTTACGTATATAGAAGCTAATACGCAATAATTATTGCCTAAAAATAATAATACACTAATATATGGCTTCGCTAATAATACGCTAAAAATACTAATAGCTAATATACGCATTATCCGTTGTACTTTTGGAGGTGATCGCTTCTAACGCGCTATCGAATTACAACACAAACTGAAAATGAAGATGTCAGGGCATAAATGTACCTCATCTTGCATTATTTACCTCATTCATATTTTAAAGAAAGCGTACGTCGAGGCCCCTAGATAACCAATAAACCCGTATAATAAATAACCAGTAAACCCGTATATAAACCCAATAAATTATAATGTGTTGCTCATCTCGCCAGCCAATCAGTAATCAGAATGTTAATGCAGCTGGATTAGGGAACGTGTTCTCTTATCGCTCAGTGTATATGCTTTTACAATTGCAGCCATGGCAGTGCCTCCCAACAGCTTTGCGGTTAAAAAACGTAGAATTTGTGGCAATTGTCGTTGTTTTTGAATTCCTGGTAATCAGAATTGCGTCGCATTTGCCCGAAAAAATTTTCCTGTAAAAATCGTTCCCTTTCGTATTCTAAACAACCTCCATGTTTACCCGATGATTCACGGTTAGAGCATCGCGGTTTTAAATTTAACATCCATGTATATATTTCATAACCTCTATAGGAGTGTTTTTTATCGATTTCGGCTCAAAAAATTGTTACCTCGTGTTTTATTTTGATATTGCATCAGAAACTTTATGAATTCTAATAAATAAAAAGTTCGTTGAATCGAACCTCGCTTTCATATAAGGAACAGGGAGATTTATTTACACAAAGGTGAGGAACATTGCAATTAGCACCTATAAATAAATTCAAGAGAATATTCTGATGCTACAAAAACCAAACAGCAACTTTCTGAATAAAATATTCGTTTCGAATATATACAACGCTATGAGTATACAAATATCTCTTGCGTCGATGTAAATTGTCTTGCAATGAATGCTGAATGGCAAGATGAAAAATTAAGAAACACACACTAAATTAATGAGAGCAAGGCACCTAATGGATTCGTCAATGCAGTGAATGCTGGATGGCATTGCGAGAAGCTTTGTAATACACATACATTAAAATAATGAATGAAATGCACCTTGATGACTAATTCCTACACAAATTAAAATAATGAATGAAACACATATACACTAAATCCCACAATTAATGCCTAAATGCAGGGCGAGAATCTGTACAAACACTTAAATTAAAGAGCGCTGGGTATCGGAAAAATTTCTTTCTGCAATGAATGATGAATAGTAACAAATAAATGATATTACTGAATGTCAGACACATAAAAAAGTCGTTACATCAATAAATGCTTAATGGCAACAAATACAAAATACACTAAATTTCTGAACGCCAGTCACCTAAAAAAGTAATTCCGGCAATAAATGCTTAATGACAACAACTACACTAAATTTAAGAACGGCAGTCCCCTGAAAAAGTTATTCCGGCAATAAATACTTAATGACAAGAAACACACTAAATTTATGAACGACAGTCACCTGAAGAAGTCATTCCTGCAGTAGAGTTTGTCCTCTCGACTGAAGCATTTCTCAGTGAGTGAGCTGCCGCAGTCGACGCAGCGCACGCACTCTGCGTGCCATGTCCTGTCGAGCACAGTGAGCAGGAACTTGTCCATGATGGGGCGGCCGCAGCCCGCGCAACAGATTATCATCTTGGCGTGTTGCTCGTCTTCAGGCAGTACGCCATCTGACGACGGGTCGCCGCAACTCAACCACGACAAAGTGTTCTCGCTTTTCATGATCGCAAACTTGGTAGCGGGTTGAGAGTTGATTGTGGGGTCGCGAGCGCTAGAGAATGCGATAGGATTCGCTTTTCATGGTATGGGTTCGAATGTATTTATTTAGGAATTCTGTTGAGTGACACTTTATAATCATAGAAACCAAGTCTCCATGCTAAATTACACCCATTCGCTTTTTTGATGTTCCAGAGACTGCAAAAAGGCGCACAATACACGTTCGCAATATACGCTGTAATACACACCAGTCACGCTGTGAAAATTAGAGGACACTGTTTTTCATACAAAATTTTTCGTTAAGATTATTTTATTATAACAAGTTATATAATCACAATTCCACTACCGTGAGTGTCACTGTTAAAATTAGAAAATGTTAAATATCACTGTACACGAAGCGATCGTAATTCGTGGCACTGCTCTGTGCTCATGCACGCAACCGTGGCACTGCTCACCACGCAACCGTGGCACTGCTCACCACGCAACCGTGGCACTGCTCAATACGTAACCGTGGCACAGCTCACTACGCAACCGTGGCACTGCTCACCACGCAGCCGTGACACTGCTCGTGCACGCAACCGTGGCACTGATCACCACGCAACCGTGGCACTGCTCATGCACGCAACCGTGGCACTGTTCACCACGCAACCGTGGCACTGCTCACCACGCAACCGTGGCACCGAGTCGCGAGTGACACTATACTCACTATAGTGGTACTATCTCTGTCTCACTCCCTATAGCTAACACACGCAAGCTGTTCACCAATACAGAAGTTTGTTTGGGTTGAGACCGTTGTATTGCTGCATAAATTCAACTGCCTTTAATTGTGCGGCAATGAAAGATTTTACTTGAGTGCTCACAAAATTGTGCAGATAAGAATAAGTCGAGTTAATTCAATGCGCAGAAAGTAATTTACAGAGCTTAATTTCGAGAGTTAATTCAATGCATAGAGCATCACAGCGGATAACGGGGTTATTTATATAGAGTGTCAGTTCCCTTAACGAGACGCCTGTATTGTATAAGTTTATTGGGACACGTAAACTGAAATTACTTTGTTTATTTCTATGATATTAATCGAAGCAAAAATATTTTTTGTCTTTTAATATTTACTAATATCATCTTTCCAGTTGGAAATTTTTGCAGTATGCAAATTATTTTCGTTTAGCCACTTTAGTCTTTCAAAACTTTATATTCATTATATAGTTTCATTAAGTTAAATTTCGGCATATCCAGGGATTAGGTAGATCATACGTTTCAGTATTCGCATCATCATTTACATAATTTTATGTGCTTTTGTCGCGCAAAGATTGCCGGGACTGAAAAAATTGCTCGAGTATATTTACCGACTTCGTCGTAAAAAGAATATATTAATTGAGAAATTCGGGTTTAGTGTTGTGTTCGCTGTACATTTTTCCTATGGAAAACTTTTATAATAAAAACTATGAACGCTGAGGCCTTCCAGGATTCCACAGAATGTTTAGTCCAGAAAACTTTTTTTCCAGTACCTGGAACTTTTTTCCGATCAAGCTGTATTTCGACAGTAGATTTCTCGTCAAAAAACCACACAGATAAAACCTCCTCCTAAACTCACAGATTTTGATGCTAGAAAATCACGCGAAGAGCCAACGAAGCGGCAGACCGCGAAGCACAGACACACGAACCGTCGCCACACTCGCCTTGCAGAGCGACCAGAAGAGCCGTACTGTCGCGCCCTGGTGTCGAGTGCGCGCAGCAGAGCCGACACTCGCGGCACCTCATTGGCCGAGCGCGGCGCTTCCTCTGATTGGCTGTGAGGCGGGACTGTCGAGAATAAGACGGGAGTCTGTGTGTCGTGAGGCGGGACTGTCGAGAATTGGACGGGAACCTGCTGGGCGGGTCGAGAAGAGGCTTCGCGAGCTCTGTGCGCCGCGGAGCAACGTGAGGCGATGTTGCGTCGTCTGCGCTGCGCTGGACGAGATGCGCTCTCACAAACTACAGCGCAACAGCCTAACATTATTCAACGTCTTTCTATTTCTTATGCATGTTCATTACTGGAATGGCCAGTAAGGAATGACGTGATAATATAAAATTAGAAATTTTCAAGAATTACCATTACATAAACAGAACGTATGGCGAGACATACAATAATATTATTAAAATTTTAAATAAAAAGTAACAAAAATTCAACAGTACAAAAACTTATTTAAACCGTTTGGTAATTTCAAATTTAGATCATCTTAATTAAAACGAATTGCGGGAATAATTAAAGAATTTAATTATTTTCAAATTCACTAGGACACAGACCGGCAAAATTATACACCTGAATTGAATTACAATAATTTAATAAAAATGTATATAAGAATTACCGTTACACATACGTATGACATGATATACAATAATATGATTAAAATTTAAACGAAAAAGTAACAAAAATTCAGCAGTACACAAACTTATTTAATCCGTTTGGTAATTTCAAATTTAGATCATCGTAATTAAAATGAAATGCGGGAATGATCAAAATATTTAATATTTTTCAAATTCACTAGGACACTAAGTGTGATGAATGAATATCTTAAAAAAATATTGGAATAAAGATACTTTATAGTTCGGATAAATTACACGGACTTTAAAATCACTGATTCTGAGGGAATTTTATAGCCGGGTCTGCGCTGGCCACAATTGCGAAGATCAAATATTCCTCTTCGTTGACTGGCTAATTTGGTGCGTCTTCCTGCTATTGTAAGCTAATGTAACCTTGCCGATATTCATATAACTTTTTGATTGTCATATGGCATGACCCATCGTATGCGTCATCGTCTGGCATGACCCATCGTATGCATCATTGTATATGGCATGACCCATCGTATGCATCATTGTATATGGCATGACCCACCGTATATGCATCATTGTATATGGCATGACCCATCGTATATGCGTCACCGTATATGGCATGACACATCGTATGCGTCATATAGTATGGAATGACCATACGTCATATTGTATGGCATCGTATGCGCCATGCCATACAATGAGAGAAGTCGACGTGGACATGCCACACGTTGAGATTATGAGTATTGTTACGTACAATTTATACATAAGTAAATAAATTGCAATGATAATTAGCTTGCTCATATATTTTCGAAATAATTCCTTTGAAGTATTTAAATCACCATTTCACACATTGGGCAATTAAACATTTCAGGGGCTTGGGGAAAATTTACATATGGCATTCAGCTTTCGAATAATCTTTTTTATTGAATAAAAAATCAATTAATACAAAAATACACAAATTGAACAAGGATCGCGCATTCACAGTGACATGAATCTGTTGCTTTGAAGCTTGCATAATATTTTATATAGAGAAATAATATTAATAATAAATATAGAAGGGCAGATTCTTAAATTCAGCGATCACTGAAGAAACGAATCGATCTGTAAAAATTTAGTTTTGCACCAAACCGAATTCTTTTCGGCCTTTTTTAATGTTCAGGAGTTAATAATATGTTCTTGTATGTGAGGAATTTTTAATAACAAATCGTTCAAAATTATTCATAAGTAATTGATTTTTAAGCTCTACGATGCAAGTTTTTAGGATAATTCGGTTAAGTGGACAAAAATAAATATGCACTTTGAATTTTTGACCATTATTTCATTTAATCAGGGAATCAAAATAACTGCCATATAATTTTTTATCAATGGTACATAACTATTATAAATACTGTACTTGAAAGCAGGCATCATATAATAACAAATTTGAAGCTCATGGAAAATGCATTATTTCCATACAAAAATTCGAAAACACATAAGGTAAACTTTATATTCCATATATTTTGTTGTTCAAGGGATTTAATTTGATCATGTTTGATAACTTCCTCAATATTCCTGGACATTTTTCTTATTTGATCATAATTCGTAATTCGAATTGAAATCCATTCAACCTATTATACGATCCCTATAAATAATTTTCTCAATGTAACCTGATTCAAAGATAAATTTCTCAATGTAAAACGATCTCTATATATATAATCCGATCTCTGTATAAACTTCTTTACATATATTGAACCCTAAATATAAACAAATCCCTTCATAATCCGTTCCAACCTTCAAATCCCCTCATAATCGCGCACGCCTAAAACTATCATGAACTGATTATTATTTACTGTATATATCATTTCACCTAATCGGTTTATAAGGACTGCACATGAGTTAATAGTCGTTATATATGTAGGCCTATGATTGATTATTAATATTAACGAAATTATTAATAATTGAAATTTAATCATTCGCCCGAATTCATGGCAAAGTCATTCATTCATGATTCATTTGACTTAATAGCAAGCTAATCATAGCTAGACCACATTATTTAAATAAGTTGTTCTTCAAATTCTATACATATACTTCACTTGCGACTGAGTTGACGCCTTAATTAATGCCCTGAATCGAGTGAATCCTGATACACGTACGCGCTTTGTTACTTTCTATGAAAACCTGAAATCCAAATATAAGTGTACTGTGTTATACGCATGCGCTGTGTTACGTATATGTGGTCATTATTATTTCGAATTGTGCAGTTAATGAATCACGAATCTTCTGCTATGTGTCTCCTTTAATCCAATTTTAATGATTAATTATTAACTGATTTATTATATGTATCGTAATCGTACCGCATACAACCCGCGGCAAAAATTGATAAAAAACATTCTTATTTTTACCGTTTATCCTGCAATATTACTAAGTTTCTTCCCCCAGTATTTTTCAATTATTTCGGCAAGAATAATATTTCCTTTGACAGCTCGCGCAAGTGTTATCCCTGTCATCCATCACATGCATGCCATGCCGCTGCTTATGCATGTTCTTGTTGACAACTATGTCTGACATCTCGCACATGAATATCATGTACAAATATCATGTCGCTCAGAATTTCTCGGTGTCATGTAACTTATGGAGATATGGAACACATGTAAAGTTCCGGCACCGCCACACCTGTCGTGTATGCGAGAGCTTATGCACTCAAAAAAATGAGTGGGACTCCGAATAGCAATGCATTTGGAAATGTCCGAATAGTGATTCATTTTTTGCTCAAATGGCAGCAAATGATCTTGCTGGCACGTAGCGTGGCATTGGATTGCTATACGTCCGAAATGTATACCAAAGATATTATATATATAAGCTATGACTCAGTTTGTCAAGGCAAAAAGGCAAATCAGGGGAATCTAGCCCATAATTTTTTCTTAGTGTGGAGCTCGTTCACGTATTCTGCTTGTCAGTAATTGCGTGGAAATGTATAATTTATTCATATGTTTCTCTTTAGGCTTAAATATTTTAGGGATTTGAAGAATTTTAAAAATTATGCTGACAAAACTTAACACAGTATCAGCTGGATTCGAAAAAAATGTGCAGGACGTACGGCAACAAATGAGAAATTAAGCTTTGCTGCTGGAGTCACTAAACACCCAAAAGAACGACATTTCATTGAGGAAGCGCTAGTGAAATGCATCATCCTAGTGATATCAAATTTTGAAGTTAGATGAATACGAGCTAATCAATGGAACATCCGTTATCTTTTTAACAGGTGACTCTTGTACGTGCATTTCTTGAACTCAGCGGGAATTCTTTGATCATAAAATAAAATAAATGCCAAAAAATAAAATTTATAAGAGGTATTGAATGATGTTAAAAAAGGTGAATGGAAGCGCCTAATCTTTTCGATTCGATGTCTCCATAACGAAAAATTAGTTTATTACACCCTTAGTCTTAGAAAAATTTGAAAGGCATAGTTTTTGATGTAGAGTTGGAGTTTGCGCCTTTGGCTTCCGCACCAGAGAGGACCGTGTGCTGATCAGTCCACCCTGATTGATCTTAATTGGTGGCCAGCCAGGGCCTCTACTAGCAAACAAGTGGCCTCATTTAATCGATCATGGCTTCATTTGAGGGCCCAGGATCTGGCCTGTTCCTACAAATAGAGGTTATGCCATGGACCTCACATGGACGTCCAAAGCATTTAAATCACATGGACATGTGATTTAAATGCTTTGTCAGAGCCTCACATTACTATAGCTTCTGCTGCACCAGCGTCTCACCTGGCAGACGTCAGCCTCGCATGACCTGCCATGGCCTCACAGGCAGGCGTAAGCCTCGCTTGACCTGTCATGGCCTCATGTGTACGCAGTGTTATAGACTGATGGCTCGGGCCACAATTACCCTCATTAGAGTGTTGTCTGAGCAAGTTTAAATCAAAGGCACTGCCATTACAACATCTTCATCACTGCACTGCGAGGACTGGCATTACCTGTTCAATAACTTGAGTTCAGCTCATGGAAGCATTGATCATTTTTCCCTCGGTAACTCAAAATAAAGTCATTACCTGTTCGATTCACTCGTTCTACGGCTCCATTACCTGCTACGCGTATGGAATGGCAGTTATAGAAGCTGTGAACTTCAGCGCCTGACGGCCAACTTTACGAACTGGTAAACAAGCCGATGTAAACAAGGTTCTCTGTGGCTCTGTACAAAACTTATGGTGCAAACACAAGGGCTTGATGATGGTGCAAACAAGTTAAGTTGCTAGGGTGCAAACAGACGCGGCGTGGGCGGTGGAAACATTGTTGTGCTGATGTAGCACGAACATGTGGGGCTGCCTGTGATGTTGTAATGATAGCTATGATGTTGGTGCGAACTGTAATGGTGTGGTGCGAACTGTAATGGTAGCGGTGCAAACTGTAATGGTGTGGTGCGAACTGTAATGGTAGCGGTGCAAACTGTAATGGTAGCGGTGCAAACTGTAATGGTAATGGTGCGAACTGTAATGGTAGCGGTGCAAACTGTAATGGTAATGGTGCGAACTGTAATGGTAGCGGTGCGAACTGTAATGGTAGCGGTGCGAACTGTAATGGTAGCGGTGCGAACTGTAATGGTAGCGATGTGATAACTGTAATGGTAGCGGTGCGAACTGTAATGGTAGCGGTGCGAACTGTAATGGTAGCGGTGCGAACTGTAATGGTAGCGGTGCGAACTGTAATGGCAGCGGTGAGAACTGTAATCGTAGCGGTGAGAACTGTAATGGTATTGGTGCGAACAGTAACAGTGTTGGTGACAAGAGCCTCGGTGTTCGTGCGAGCATTTACAATAGTAGTGAGAATACTATTCGTATCCGTGATGGTGGCAACATATGGTGATGGTTTCGTTGTAATACAGGAGTTAGCTAAAGTATACCGCGCATAAATATTTCCTTATGTATACCTATACTATGGTCCTATCCTTGTACTATGTAACATGTAGTACATATCTATATAGTAAATAGTAGCCATAGTATAAATAGAAACGTGTCTACATAGTTTTTATATTCCGCATGCAATTCTATTAGCCGGTAATGGAGTACTGAGGTTTGTGATCGTTAAGAAGCTTCTGAATAACGAGAATCGTTGTTAATAATCATGAGGTTCCATCAGTGTTGAAAACTTGAAGAATGACTTCACATATTGGCTTAGTAGAAATGATCTAGTTTGGGGATTTGAATTTCTGAGCTTCAAATAAATTACGACCACCGTAAGTACCTTTATCATCGAGGAACTTACGACCACCGTAAGTACCTTTAATCATTGAGGAACTTACGACCACCGTAAGCACCTCTAATAATCGAGGAACTTACGGTAACCGTAAGTACCTTTAATCATCGAGGAACTCACGGTAACCATAAGTACCTTTAATCATTGAGAAATTTACGACCACCGTAAGTACCTTTAATCATCGAGGAACTTACGAGTTACGACCACCGTAAGTCCCTTTAATCATCGAGAAACTTACGACCACTGTCAGTACCTTAAATCATCGAGTAGCTTACGGTTACTGTAAGTACCTTTATCATCGAGGAACTTACGACCACCGTAAGTACCTTTAATAATCGAGGAACTTACGGTTACTGCAAGTACCTTTAATCATCGAGGAACTTACGGTCACCGTAAGTACCTTTGAGACTGCAGCCATGGCAGCAACGAGGCGTTGAAGGCAAAGATCGTGTCTCTTTCAAATGATTTTATAGCGCTGCTTTGAGCGGTCCTTCAATTTGTTGCTTTCGACGACTCTGATGACAGGAGAGCAGTTGCTTGTGTGGCCATCATTAGAGTTGAAGGAGCTGGTTATTGATTCTTCACGCTACTGTTTCTGGCTTGCAGGTCGCAATGAAATGGGTCGAGACTAAAGCTTGTTCACGACCGCCCTACATGTCGCCAACGCGTTCTGTGTCTGCTCACGCTGTGACTAAACGTGTTTGGTCGCTTGCTGGTCACAGTACAATTGGGTTCTCTATAAAGAACTCACGTCATTGTTTGTGTTGATCTTCGGCTTATTAGTTCGATGTTCCGTAATTATGCCGTATGCGTAATTGGAATATTTCGATACGCAATTAGTGTTTACATGTATATTTTCTTCACTAAAATTGTCACTATCTTTAGGACAAAAACACTGACCCTTCAGCTACTTCATATAAACTACTGTATTAATTTTATTCTCAGTATTTTAATTGAAAAAAAATGTGGTTAGAATTTGAAATTTAAAATATATTCACTTGTCCGGTCATTCATGTACAGTATGCTTGATTAAAAACTCTGCTCTGAACTATGATAATATAGAATAATTTCGTTTAGACCCACAAAAAATACAAAATATCACTACTGAAGCATTGCCATCATTTACTTAGCGGACAGTTGAGAGAAAATATCTAATTTTTCTATTAACACGATCTATAGAATCCTCTATATTATCCTTTCCTTATGTTTTCGATTATTTTTCGCTGTAAATGTTCATGTCTTGGTTACATTTCACTGTTGGAATTTTTCATTCACTGAGGTATTGTTCATTTGAATCAATTATACATTCGAGCCTCTCAATAAGTAACGAATATGGCTTCATGCATCAAACGTGAATTACAACCTCGCGTCTAAAGTAATTAGGGAAGAAATTCAAAAATATATCGGCCGAATTTTGGAAAATGTGACTCACCCATAATAAATGAGGTTTAAATACGGCAAAAGGCCTTTCTTTGCATTTCGAAATTCAGCGTCAAATATTACAAGCGCAACTTAGGCGGCCAAGCAACGGCCTTCAAATGGCCACCGAAAACACGCCCATGTTTCCATATCGTGTAAGGAAACGTATAGTCGCGGGCATATCTCGTGCGAGTTTGTTTTCCCAGAGTCAACATGGCGAAGCTTTGAGCTCGAGAAATTTAGCTAAATAAATATAAAAGCTTGATGAATCTCATCGAATATATAAAGGAAATATGTTTCATTGAGGTCATTGGCGTGCACGTAGATGTTCTCTAATAACCAATCTTGGTTCACCCATAACATGTGACCCAAAGACTGTCCGCAGTAAATGCTGTGCTTAAAATATTGAAGCGAACGCAATTGTTATACTCACTCCGTCCGCTGTTTGGACAGGCCGGGCGCTGTGCTGCGGAAACATTGATTTGCTGTTATCTCTATTTACTTGTATGAAGAATTGATGAATGCAAAGTATATAGTCTTATGATATCGTGTCAGAAAAATCGTGTTTGCGTGATCGTGTGAATAAAGTCGGGTCAGTAATTAGTTCGTTCCAGAAATATCGTGGCAGCAGATCGTACCAGTAATATCGTAGCAGCAAGATCGTACCAGTAGTATCGTGGTAGCAAAATCGTACCAGAAATATCGTGGCAGCAAGATCGTACCAGTAATATCGTAGCAGCAAGATCGTACCAGTAGTATCGTGGCAGCAAGATCGTACCTGTAATATCGTGGCAGCAAGATCGTACCAGTAGTATCGTGGCAGCAAGATCGTACCAGTAATATCGTGGCAGCGAAATCGTGCCACGGATCGTAAACGCCAATATCGGCACGCTCTGGCAGCGATATTCACAGAATCAACCAAATGACTTGTTTTCTCAATTGCAATTGTCAATAGCTGACCGTTATAATTAGCCATCATTCAAACTATTGAATCATTCGCGTAACGATTTAGAAGCAATGAACTCATATGTGACCGATTAAAAAATTTCAACTGGAAGTACTTTTAGTTCGGCGATTTTTTTTAAATGTTCCTATTACTTTGTTATTAATTTATCAATATTCTTGCATAAGCGATTTCATCAAAAATTTAACTTTATATTGGAATTCGAGCTACGTTTCTCCTACACAAAGTGGGCCGGTGCCATAAACTTTTAAAAGGATAGGAATGGAAATAAAGAGACGGGAGATTGCAGCGTGTATTCGCTCTCATGGTACATGACACACTGCATTAGATGGACGCATCAGTCTATTCTTATATACAAACACTCACTATATATACACTTGAAGAGTTCCTATCGCTTTACACATCAAACAATAACTCTATACACTTGAATAACCTAAGAATAACGTCTCTACAGAACAACCAATGATAACCTTACAACCAAACTAACTTCACTGCAGAATTTATCCCAGTTTTCTTATTTCATTACCAGTGATTTTAGAAGCTTTCCTTCACTGAACGATAGCTCGAGGCTATCACCAGCAAGGTGCCTTTAACAACTAATAGTTTTGCGTGATATGGGATAGGAACTATTGTACGTCAATCAGCGTTTGCGTGATATAACAATACGAATTTATATCATAAACTGAAAGAGAAAATTTAGAAAATATGGACCGGATTCAGAGTACACATGCATTTTTTCATGTTCGACGTCAAGTTTTGTGCGATTCAACGTAACAATTTCGCGAACGAAAATATTTTTACTGAGCGTGAACAATAAGTGCGAGTCATTTGACACGATCTGAATTTCAATGAAATATTGGTCTTATTAGAGAGCTTCATGGATAAAAATATTCAACGATTACTGAGTGCATTGGTCAAAGAGAGCGTGCGTATTACTGCTTAACATTCATGACTTCTCAGAGACAGACCATGAAAGTAAATTTAATTTGACAATCGACAACCCGAATGAAATGAGTGTAACATTTACAAATACAATTTTGAGCAATTCACGGACATTCACTAAGAATTCTAAACTTTTATGCACTAAACTCATTCATGAAAACATCAAAATTAGAGAACCGCAAACTAATTCCCGTAAGAAATTAGACTAAATAACAAATCTTATTTACATATTCGGCTCTACATTGGCGGCCAGCTTATTAATCCTCTTCTTAATATTAATGTTATTGTTAAGCAGAAGACAAGGTTAGTGGCAGATACGTAGCCATCAACGTTCAATCACATAGTTAATATATATTTAACATAATTGAAACTAAATAAACACGAAATGATTAAAATTGGAGCTAAATAAAGTGAGTCAAATGAATTACGATGAATTGAAGCTGTAAAAATACTCAAATGATGATGGTTTCATAATTGATGTTGCGATGTTCAATAATGATGTATTATGATATGAACAAGCAAGAGGAACTGATGTATGATGAATTGAATACGAAATAATCAAAATTTTCTTATTGAAGAATGTGGAAGGATGAAGTGTGATCAAAAAGTTATATGCTGAGAAACCAGAATGACGCGCGATATATGAATAACCGACAAATAAAGATACCGTATCATTGATATTAGTGCACAAATAATTAAACTAGGCTGACAAAGGCGTTTGAAAGTCCCAAACAAAGGTCTTAGTTATGAGGACACATGGACATTAATTTACAAAAACGTAATTAATGAAGTCAAGTTTTATTTTATGGCTGCATATTCAGAGTGCAGACGACTCATGAAAATATTTTATTATCTATGAATTTCTGCTAATTCTAAAGCATTTATCCCGTATTATCACTTATAATTGCCTAAAATTTTTACAGTAATGTTAAAAAAATACAAAGCAGATGATGAATATTATATTTTTCTTCGTTTAATTGTTGCCGGTTTGGTTCTAACTCATTTTCATCTCATCATATCTCTTACTTCATCACTTTTCTTCACATTATTCGGTAACTCCTCAACCTAAGATATTTAATGATTCAGTAGGTTAATGGAGATTTTTTCCATTGTTAATAAATTTTCCTGGTAAAGTTTAAACATAAATTCTAATTGAAGCTCACAGAACTCTCAAAATAAAGCTCCATAAATGAATTCTTTACAATATACAAAAAACAAGCAGGGAAATTTCTCTGTGTTAAAAGGCCATTTCGATCAAGCAGAGCAAGATTGTCCATCACAGGTCAGCTGATCGAAGCTCTATATAGGATAGAGTTGCATGTGTGATCTGTATTGTTGATCGAGTTGTGTGATCGAGCTGAGTAACCGAGCTACTTGATCTAACTGTATTATCTGCTTAGTATCGATCTGTGTGATCGACGTGTGTGATCGACGTGTGTGATCGATCTGTGTGATCGATGTGTGTGATCGAGCGTGGGGTTACCAAACCATTATTTCGTTCTGTCGATCACTAAAATTTCCCGAACCTGGAAAAAAGGAAAGGAAACGCTGTCAGTTTGACCGCCTTTGGTAGGTCAACAGTCAAAGGTTATGATCAACATGAGGGAACATAGCCATGAAATTAGAAATACGGTGAACGTAGGACTAATGGGTGTAATGAAGGTAATGAATCATTTAAGACAGTGATAAAATGGGTGCATATAATTATCTTAAAGTATTATGGAATTAAATGAGCATTTAACAAGCTTATAATGAACACGACATTACGTGTGAATTTAATTAACACGTTATTTAAATGCAATTATATGGGCATTGAAGTAGCTTATTATCACTATATATTTGTGAATGAAACTTATATGAGCATTTATTGAGCTTATTAAAAATTGTCATTATTACATGAACAGGAAAGCATATAAAAACAAATGTATGACTAAATAGACTTGATAAAGATGTAGGTACATAAGCTGAGGTCAAGGTGCTTACGACTTAGAGGTCAGGGTGCTTGCGACTTAGAGGTCAGGGTGCTTGCGACTTAGAGGTCAGGGTGCTTTTTACGACTTAGAGGTCAGGGTGCTTACGACTTAGAGGTCAGGGTGCTTACGACTTAGAGGTCAAGGTGCTTACGACTTAGAGGTCAAGGTGCTTATGACTTAGAGGTCAGGGTGCTTACGACTTAGAGGTCAGGGTGCTTACGACTTACTGCCGTGGAGGGAGGGGTCGTCGGGGGAGGTCATGGGTGGGAGGTGCTGGTGGTGAACGAAGGCTTCCCCTCCGGGGGTGGGGAGCATGGGGAGGGGGGGCATACCTGGGGGGAAATCTGAGCCTCCCATCGGCCCCCCCGCGGGCAGGGGTTGTTCCAAGCCTGGGCCCACTTGGGGAAAATAAAATATGTTATTTAGCAAGAATTATAACATATTTCGCAAGATTTACTGAAAAACCATATGATGAAGTCAATTATAAAACAGCTTGCGGCTTCCATTATATGCAAGGTCATAGATATACTATACAACATATATCTATATATTATATATATCTGTATATAAATTATAAATATTATCTATGTAATATCTATAATAGAGCTATTAACTCACTGTTCTGGTACCCCATGGGGCCCTGTTGGGGGCCGAAGTACGGGGGAAACTGTTGGTGGGGGAAGCCTCCGTAGCCCTGGAAGAAACCATAGGCCTCCTCCATCCCCAGGGGGAGGTCGCGCAGCTTGCGGGGGTTGAAAAGGTGTGGGCGCATCCCCATCTGGGAGAGCTGCTTCATGCGCCGCTCCTTGCTGCGCTTGTTCTGGAACCACACCTGAACCGGGGCAAGAGAACGTGAACCTGACGTGAACCACACCTGAACCGGGGCATGAGAACGTGAACCTGACATGAACCACACCTGAACCGGGGTATGAGATTGTGAACCTGACGTGAACCGGGGTATGAGAACGTGAACCTGACATGAAGCAGGGTATGAGAATGTAAACCTACGTGAACCACACCTGAACCGGGGTATGAGAACGTGAACCTGACATGAATCACGCCTGAACCGGGGCATGCGAACGTGAACCTGACGTGAACCGGGGTATGAGAACGTGAACCTGACGTGAACCGGGGCAAGAAAATGGGAACCTGGCATGAACCGGGGCGAGAAAATGGGAACCTGGCATGAACCGGGGCGAGAAAATGGGAAGCTGGCATGAACCGGGGCGATAAAATGGGTACCTGGCATGAACCGGGGCGAGAAAACGTGAACCTGACATGAACCGGGGCGAGAAAACGTGAACCAGACATGTACCCCACCTGAACCGGGGCGAGAAAACGTGAACCTGACATGAACCGAGGCAACAAGAGAAGAACCAGGGCAAGAAAACATCAGCCACACTTGTTACTGGAGAAGAAAATGCCTTCATTAAATGGGCTGGAGTTGTGAAGGTCCTAAGTAATGGGCCGACGATTTTAAGAGTCCTAAAAAATTAGCCAGACTGTTTCATGCACTCCTAGATATAGCAGGCTAGTGTTTGTTTAGTTTCTAGATCACGGGCTAGTTAGGGTGGTGGCAGACGGATATGATGGCGGGTGTAGCGGCGGCAGGAGCAGCGGGCGGCAGCGGCGGTAGCAGCGGCGGCAGGAGCAGCGGGCGGCAGCGGCGGCAGGAGTGGCGGGTGGCAGCGGCGGGTGGCAGCGGCGGTGGCAGCGGCGGCAGGAGTGGCGGGTGGCAGCGGCGTGTGCAGCGGCGGGTGCGTGTCGGGTGGTCGCGGACGCCTGTCTTTACGCTTCGATTTTGATGTCACGCGCGCCGTTGCGTCATGCGAGCGGCGGGGGGGGGGAAATTGCGGGGGAGAAAGTGCAAATTATGTGTGATGTTATATGTGTAGCACAAGCGTATATGTAGAGTATATGGTACCACGTACAGCCGCATGAGTAGCAACTCCGAAGCAGGAGCATACACAGCAATAGGTTGCAGCATGTAGCATCATGTAGCAACGTGTAACAACATGTAGCATCATGCAGCTTCATGCAGCATTTAGCAGCAGCTGCATGCAGCCCTGCAGCAGCAATAAGTGCTGCTGTGGCGTCAAGCGTTCCTGTGTAGCAACAACATCGTCGGCACCGGCGACCTTCAGCGGCAAACAACAGCAGCAGCAGCAGCAGCAGCACAGCAGCTACTGCAGCCACAGCAGCCGCAGCAGCAACAGTAGCAATGAAGGCATACACTCAGGAAATGATAATTTGTCCTAAAATTGACGCACGTTGTGCTTTGTGAGTTATTCTCGCTCAGTTTGGCGTGGCAAACGGGAAGAAAGAGGGCCACAATTTTATGGTGATTTGATCCATTCATTTTTCTGGTTATAAGCTGAGTTCTACGCTCGTGATCTATAGAGTAACGGGAAAAATACTTCACGGGAGACATGTGGGTGAAATGCGCGATGCGGGAGATGGGTACGGGAGAGAAATGTGATCGGGCGGCCCGTGACATACGATAGGACGGCCCGTGACACACGATCGGAAGGCCCGTGACACACGATCGGAAGGCCCGTGACACACTAGGTCCGTGACACGCGATTAGGAGGCCCGTGACACGCGATTAGGAGGCCCGTGACACTCGATTAGGAGCCCGTGACACTCGATTAGGAGGTCCATGTCACACGATCGGCCAGCCCGTGACACACGATCGGCCGGCCCGTGACACTCGATAGGGCAACCCACAACACACGATAATTTTTTTATTACAAAACCCCAACGAGTGATTGCAATGGAGGAGGAATGGAGGAAAACAGAAATAAATATGAAATGAAGGGAACTTAATGGATGAATAAAGCCAGAAGATTTGAATTCAGAAAAAAAAACTTTTTCTTCGCCAAGTCTCGTCCTGAGTGCCACCGCTGCTCAGCGCGTTAAGTGGAAAAATGTTCTTATTCCTGCCATTAACATTTGAAAATGTAAGGCATTTCCTGAACTGAATTAGGTCTCCGTACACTTACACAGCACAACTTGCACAGCAGCATCACTTGAACAGCACAATTCAATTATTGATGCTTGTTCATATTTTATTTTAAGAATAACTACGCCAATATAATATTTATAACATTTTTTTCAGCAGAAGAACAAAATTTTAAGAAAGTCTTCAAATAAATTCCCTAAAATTTCGCCAACTCCTTGAATATATAATGACGGCCACGACCGTGTAAAAAATGCAAGAAGTTACGGTAGTTGACTTACAGTAGAGCAGTGCACAGCAAATCACTGCACAGCAAATCACTGCACAGCAAATCACTGCACAGCAAATCACTGCACAGCAAATCACTGCACAGCAATGCTATATATAAAGGAGTAGCTCGATGTCTCAGACAGTCCCGCATGTGTTGGTAGTGAGACGCCTAATAAATGTCATTGCTTATTACTGCTCGACGTACGACCAAGGATCGTAGTCCCTGGTGACTGACTCAGTCGTGTTGTCAACTCATTTTCCTCTCTGGCATGTCCGGCCTTTAAGGGGCTTCAGAGACAAAAATTATGTTATAATATAATAATATGTATTATGATCTGAGGCTGTCGTCTCAGATCATAATACAATGTAGCGACCCTGCCGTCCTGCTCTGCTTATAAAACTACATGTATCTAAGCTATTGTCTCTTACCCAGTCATAATACAATGTGGCTAAGCTGCCGTCTCTTACCAAGTCATAATACTACATGTTACTATACGCTGCCATCTCCTACTCAGTCATAATACTACGTGCTTCTACGCAGTCGTCTCTAACCCAGTCATAATACAACATGTTACTACGTACGTACGCTGCCGTCTAGAACCAAACCTGTAAACTCAGTCAAGCCAGTCACAATACTACGTATAGCTACGCTGTATAGTCCCGCCGGTCAAAATACTGCGTATGTCTGCGTTCGGCACATATGTAGCCATAACAAGCCGCAACTCGAAGCTGAACCGTCGCGGCGATTGTGTATTTTTCAGCGGCGGCTCGGCTGATTGCATTCCACCTAGAAATTACGCAGTGAGCAACAAGATCAAGTTCTGTGCATTGCTCGGTCGGCTCACAGTGATTTTATTTTAATGAACCTTGATCTCTACCGACGGTTGGTGGTCGAGGTCACGAAATCATGCACGTACTTTGGTCAATAAAGCTTCAGCAAATTCTTGTGATGTTGACACTTGCTGCATTGCTGCTGACGGGATAGTGACGCCTGTGTCGACTAAACAGGAAGTTTTGTGTGTAACACTGTAATACATTCACGTGTGTTGTCGCTCTTGAAAATGCTACACATTGATTGAACTTTGCGCATGCAAGTCGAAATGCAAGAGCTTTGAGACAATTGCTGCTGGAAAATCGAATTTTTTTTCTTGTCTTAAATGTGAAATAGTGTGATATTTTTGATGAAAAAATATTTAATTTGATAAAAATGTGTAATTTTTTCAACCAAAGCTATATTGCTTTTCTTTTCGGCAACATCTTTGATCATTAATCGACATGAGCTAAACTATTTCTTTGCTTTTAACGCATAGTTTAATTTCATTTATTCAGAAATATTGTCTAAATTTTTCAACATTCAGATTCGCGCCCCGTTTTTGCAAATATATAAACAAATTTCTACCAATTTTCCAAGAAAAGCTTCACCAATCCCGCCCGTTTGTAGGGTAACGTTACACTCATTTTACCCCACACTTTGTTCGGTTTCTCGTCCAAAGTTGGGCAAGAAAAATGGCCACGAAGTTGCCAGGAGTTCAGGGCAATCGGCGGCAGGCGTTAAATCAACAGGGCTCGCGCGTCGCAGCCTGTCTCTTTATGCAGATTAGCTTCCCTCAGGGGGGCTAGGGCCTGTCTGCCCCCTGATTTATGTACTGCCACTGAAACTGCGCTGGCACTTGACGATACTGCCACTGAAACTGCGCTGGCACTTGACGATACTGCCACTAAAACTGCGCTGGCACTAAGATCTGCAAGGCCTTGAACGAAACTGATACATACAACATCATAGAATGAAACGAATTGATCACTCGCGACGAAACTGGCAACTATGTACAACGGAACTGTCTCTGAAGACGAGTTGCCATCAACGAAACTGGTGTAAAATATACAAAATATAGAATTTATACCAAAATAGCCGAAAATGCAAGGAAACTGATATTCAGTGCAGCGAAACTGAACCTCACAGCGGCATTAAAAAAATGTAACTCAGTGCTCACTGCAGTGAGTGACAGAGAGCGCATTTTCTCGTCAACGAAAACTTGAGGTCACGGACAGACGGACGGACGGACAGACGGACAGACAGACAGACAGACAGACGGACGGACGGACATGGCGAGCACAAGAGTGCATTTTTTCCATTAATGAGAAAATGCACTAAAAAGAAAGTGAACCTCCCATCCGCCACAGAAACTCAACGAAACGGAGCATCATAACTGCGCTGGTGTCATGACGGACACATTGGCCTCTGAAACCGAGCCAATTGCGTATCATGCAAAGGAAAATTGGCTTATGAGGAGAGGGTGAATATTGGCCTTTCATTAATGAGGGTGAAGTAAGCCACTATTTGAGAGGTGAAGCAGCCCTCGTGAGGGCAACGGGGTTGTACTTGTAGAGAGGAGCGAGGGAAACTTTAGTAAAACGGAAACTAAAATAGAGGGTAACTTCGTAATAGGGTAAAAGGAGGTTGACTTATTACTAGGGTAATGAGAGGTTAACGTAATTTTAGGGTAAACAGAGGGTAACATGATACTGGGGTAAACAGTGGTAACTAAAAAATTTAATACTACATAAAATGAGGGTAACCTAATACTAGGATAAACAAGAATAGGGTAAAAAGCGGCGAACTAATACCAAGATTATTTCTACCAGAATTCAAGATGGCTCCGGTATGGCAAATTGTCAATTTAACACCTTTTCTAAATATTCGTATGCACAATAACGTACTGGATCAGGATGATCCACGCGGCAGCGAAAATTGCATTTCTATTTCGAAAGTTCTCACTAATTTCTCTCACCAAACTAATTAGGAAATAAGTATTACACGCACCTGTACGACCCTCATGGGCAGCCCGGTCTCCTTGGTAAGCTGCTCGCGGATGTGGCGTGTGGGCTTGGGGGTTTTGTTGAAGGCGTTCTTGAGCACCTCGAGTTGCTTGGCCTTGATCGTAGTGCGGGGACCCCGCCTTTTGTTGCCACCTTTGTCGTCATCAGTCTACGAAAATGGGGGTTAAGGTTTTCATCATCCACCTTCGAAAGTCAGGGGAATAGTATGTGACCAAAAAATAGTCAGTGTTTTCGTATCGTTAACATGTAAGTATTACCTGTCTGGATCTAGAGTTCTGAAGATAAAGGTAAAATAAAGTTACCAATGCAATCTCAATTCGATAAAAACTGGATAAACTGATTCTAATGCTGATACGTGGCTATGAAAGTTTTCTCCGTATAATAATGAAATTCAGCCGACACCTGCATCACCCTGACGCATGTACCACTCACCTTGTCATCATCTAATCCTTTTTCGGAGTCGATCTCGTCTTCTGAATGTTCGTCCTCCTCTTTGAGGTGGGGCAGACCGAGGGGCTTGTCAAGATCTGTGGTGGGTCCTGGGGTGTTGAGGAGTGGGGTTGGTGTTTTAGGGGTTGCAGGGGTTAAGGGTGTGTGAGGGTTGACGAAGTTCGCCTCTGACGAGGGAGGGGAAGTGAGGGGACCTAATTCTGATGGCGTGTCCACCGTGTCCATAATCATCGTGTCGTCGTCCTCCATCATGAACGTGTCTGAGGGCAATCGTGAAAGTAAATCAATTCACTTCTGCACCGGAAATCCCAGATAATGTAAATCTTTACGTTAAGCTACCGTCATTTACCAGTGAGAGTTAGGACTGAATTTCGTAATTTCGCTAATTACGTACCTAGCATGATTCCATTATGCAAATCTGAAGTTTTAATGATGCTGAATGCGAAAGACGTGTAAAGAATGGGCAGTACAATATGACCACCACACATGGAAACAATGAAATAGCATTCTAAATTCAAGGCTAAGATTATACCAACAATATATATAAAATCCAGAACCGACTATGGACCGATCATACCTTTCAAAATATTGGAAAACATGCCACTTTCCAATTCCTTATTCAACGGTGATGAACTTGCTGTTCTGTACTAGCCTGTTTCAGCTGAAATGAACTTACTGTTATATATAGTAACCTGTTTCAGCGGAGACGAACTTGCAGCTCTATACTGACCTGTTTCAGCGGAGAGGGAATTTGCTGTTCTATACTGACCTGTTTCAGCGGAGAGGAACTTGCTGTTGATAAAGTCATCCTTGCAAATAAATCTGTTCTCAGCAAGCACGTAAAGTTCTTCGCCGGTAGCAAGCTGCTTGCGGCACACGTAGCAAGTGAAGCACTTGAGATGGAAGACCTGATCGCGTGCCTTGCGCACCATGTCTTGAGGCGGGATGCCTTCGCCGCAGCCGCAGCACTTGGTACCGAATCTCCTGAGGGGAAAAAGAGGAAGAGGTCAAATCTTTTGTTTTGGGTCGGAAAAAGGATCTAAAGTTTCGGGATGGAAAAGAAAATAAAATGGGACCTACGGTTTTGGGATGGAAAATATAATATAACGGGATCTAAAGTTTTGGGATGAGAAAAAGAATAAAATGGGAACTACGCTTTTGAGATGGGAAAAAGAATAAAACGAGGCCTACGGTTTCGGGATGAAAAATAGAATAAAATGGGAACTTCGCTTTTGGGATGGGAAAAAGAATAAAACGGGACCTACGGTTTTGGGATGAAAAATACAATAAAACGGGATCTATGCTTTCGGGATGGAAAAGAGAATAAAACGATACCTATATACGTGTTCGTGGATAAAAAAATAAAATGATACCTACGTGTTCGTGGATAAAATTTCAGTTACTTGTAAGTGAAAAAAAATAATGACGGGATGTATATTTGTGTTCGTGACCGCAAGGTTTGTGACAACAAACTGGATTTACTTTTTCGTAACTACGCGAGAATAAAACGGGACATACGTGTTCATGAATTCAAGAAAATAAAAACGTCACCTACGTGTTTGTTGGGAAAAGAAGGTAAAACTGGAGTTTGATTTTCGTGAAATAAAGATTGTAACCGGACGCTATATTCAAGCTGAAATTATTAAATTATTAAGCATTGATAACATAATAAATTTTACATACATGAACAAATAACTTCTTGCAGCGAACAAAAGTATGAAAAATCCTAATTTAGGAATTTTTCCATTTTAAATTAAAATACATCCTACATCAAGTCGTCTTGCTGTTTCGCGTAAAATATTTAAAAGTGAATATATAATTTTTGGAGCAAATATAAATACTTTGCGCGAGTGCAAATATTTTGCGCGAATACGAATACTTGACGAAAATACAAGTATTTATTACAAAAGTGGTTATTTATTACAAATGCGAGTATTTATTTTAAATAAAATCATTTTTCATCAACTCAAGTATTTGGTGCGAACAGCCGTATTCGCTTCGATGAACCTGCTGTCGTTATCGGGTTAGAAGGCGTACAGGCACACCTATGCTAAAATTTAGAGCCGTTTGACTCTAAACTCAACGATGGCCGGCCATAAGCCGCCTGTGATTTGTAACTGATCTGAGATGGTAATTCGATGCCAGCTACACGTAAGGTGCCAAGACCTTTGATCTCACACGAATTAAAATAAGCCTTAGACTAGGATAATGATAAATTTCATGCTTTTTTCGTTTCGTCTTGTTTGAATGATAATTAGAATAGTCCAATTATTAGGGCAATTATAAGAATCATTGTTCTTTTTTCTCTATACAGGGCAGATTTTTAACCTTTTTTCAACAGAATTTAACCTCTAAGTTCAGGCACGGTTGATTTATTGGTCTCGGATCTGCGCGGGACTGGCATGTCTCGCAGGAATTCAACGCCTCGCGACCTCTCGTCACGCGTCGACTGCGAGACTCGCCGCTTGCCAGTCCTTTCCAACCACGTGAAAACAACGCGAGAACTATAAACACGTTGAAAACGACTCGATAACGATACAACCACGTGAAAACGACTCGATAACGATACAACTGCGTGAAAACGACTAGAGAACGATACAACCACGTGAAAAACTAGAGAACGAAACAACCACGTGAAAAACTAGAGAACGAAACAACCACGTGAAAAACTAGAGAACGATACAACCACGTGAAAACGACTCGATAACGATACAACTGCGTGAAAACGACTCGATAACTATAAAAAGACGTGAATTATCGAAACAAACCGTGAATGAAACACAATATAATTTATTTATTGTGTTATGTTATAATTTATTTATTTATTGTCTCTCAGTGAGACGATCGCGGAATTGATATCTACTTTTATATCTAAAGCCGTTTGAACGGTTTTCACTTATATTGTTGAATTTCAAATTGATGATGGAGCTGGTCAGCTAAATTTGTTAAATTGTAAGGAAATTTGTTTACATTTCATTGATATTAAATTCTGGAGAAAAATTGTTAAGTTAAGTTCTATGTTAAGTTCTTACATCATGGGCAGATATTTTTAAAATATTCTCTTAAAGGGAAGAGACAAATAATTAAGTTTTACTCAGTTTGATCTAGGTTCTCGAAATAACGGGACATGGACGGTGAAAAAGGATATAATTTGATATGTTGTGGGAAAGAAAGTTACAATTGCAAAGAAAATAAATCGTGATGAAGAAGATGCTGATGAACTTATCGGATATATCGGCATTACGAGAGTAAAATCTCACTCAACAGATGGCGTGATAAATAGAAAGCCAAAAATGAATACAGAAAAAGGGGGCAATGGCAGCAGAAAAACCAACCGAGGTACAAAATTTCGACAAAGGGAGATGGATGAATAACGGAAACTAAAGCACAAAATATGTGGTGGCTAGCCGAGGCCATGCGTGTTGTGGTGTAGCGAGTAGCACCTTTGGTGGTAGAGGGTTGGGAGCACAAGAGCTATTGTACGATGTATATATTATATTCTATATATAACAAGAGCAGCTATTGTGCCAGGTGTAAGGGGCAAGCCGGCGCCATTGAAGCATTTCACGCCCAAACGACTTGCTAGGGCGCGCCTCTGCGGGTGCCCACTTGGCGGTGGTGGGTCTTAGGTCTGTCTCTTATACACATCTAGATGTGTATAAGAGACAGTGACGATACTGCCACTGAAACTGCGCTGGCACTTGACGATACTGCCACTGAAACTGCAATGGCACTTGACGATACTGCCACTGAAACTGCGCTGGCACTTGACGACACTGCCACTGAAACTGCGCTGGCACTTGACGATACTGCGACTGAAACTGCGCTGGCACTTGACGATACNCTATATATAGTCTGTCTCTTATACACATCTAGATGTGTATAAGAGACAGGGGTAGTGGAAGGTGGTGGGGTAGTGGAAGGTGGTGGTGGTGGTGTGGTGGTGGTAGTGGTGGGGTGGTGGTTGAATGGTGGTGGCTGGCGACGTTCGGAAGGTGTTACTATGGCTTCGTACTTCATGGTTCCCGTGAAGTAGATAGTGTGGTTGCATGAAATTGACGCGAGTCCTTGTGATAAATTAAATACATCTCCAACCTACACTAGTGCTCAGGTCTAGTGCGGATGGTTGAGTTGGGTATGGCGTGTAAGACGATGGTAGCTGTGAAGGAAAACCAGGGACTCGGTGAGTTGAGTGAAGGTGTTTAGGTATAGGGGTGACCTATGATGTTGTGGGGTACATGCACCGTGCACCCCTACACACAACCATGCACCATGCATTGTTGTGTTTAAAGGATTTTATTGTAATATTGTAGTGAGGTAAAACCTGGAGCAACTTTATGAAACTTAGGAACTTAGATGGATAAAATAACACAGGCAATAACACAGGCTAAAATTGCAGCGACGTCAACACGTTCGTTAACAGCGTGATGATCGGCGGCAATACAAACATTAACAGCAACGACATCATCAGCAGCGTGCATAGCAGCGTGCACAGCAGCGTGCACAGCAGCGTGCACAGCAGCGTGCACAGCAGCGTGCACAGCAGCGTGCACAGCAGCGTGCACAGCAGCGTACACAGCATCGTGCACAGCAGCGTGCACAGCAGCGTGCACAGCAGCGTGCACAGCAGCGTGCACAGCAGCGTGCACAGCAGCGTGCACAGCAGCGTGCACAGCAGCGTGCACAGCATCGTGCACAGCAGCGTGCACAGCAGCGTGCACAGCTGCGCCTTCTAATGCAAGTTTTCAATTGACTGCATTGGACGACAGGAAGATTTATTTAAAATTCAATAAATTCTTTTTTAACCATTTGTTCAGTTCGTTGTTGTTCTTCTCTAAAAAAATACTAATAGGATAGATGGATTTAATAAACTTTTTTTACAGAGCTTTGGTGTGGGGCAAAAATTTGATGAAATCGATGTACTGTAAATTTATAATTATTTTAACTAGCATATAAAAATTATGACGGCTACGAAAAAATGATAATTAAATACTGTGAAACAAGACCGTAGATTGGTGTAAACAAATAGTGATGGAACTTAGCCCTATATTATATAATTGTGCCTACGGGTCGTAGAGTTTTCTTACACTAGACTATTTATCACAAAAGTATGAATAAAAGTTCCATCTTTATATCATTTTTCTTCCTTGCTTAGCTTCCCTTTATTTTAAGATCTTACTTAAAATCCAATGTACTTTCAACTCATCTCTTTACATACAGACATTCCTTACATCCCTCAGTCTTTTTACACACTCCCTCCCCCACAATACTTAACTCCCCCCCCCCGCAGACGATCACGCAGGAATTGGCAGCGCAGAACAGTCTGATCGGCGCTGCGCTCGGCGCTGCGGTGCGCATCAAAGATAAATTTGCATCCTAAAGACGCATCGAGATGAGCGCTGTCCCGGGGGACTCCAGCCCCTCTCTCGCCGCATGCTACTCATCTAGAGGGCTGATGTGGGTCTAAGAGGGTCTATAGGGTTGCTTAGGGTCTAGAGGGCTGCTTAGGGTGTAGAGGGTCTATAGGGCTGCTTAGGGTCTAAGAGGGGGTAGAGAGCTGCTGTGAGTCTAGAGGGTTTATAGGGCTGCTTAGGGTCTACAGGGCTGCTTAGGGTCTAAGAGAGGGTAGAGAGCTGCTGTGGGTCTAGAGGGTTTATAGGGCTGCTTAGGGTCTACAGGGCTGCTTAGGGTCTAGAGGGCTACTTAGGGTGTAGAGGGTCTATAGGGCTGCTTAGGGTCTAAGAGGGGGGTAGAGAGCTGCTGTGGGTCTCGAGGGTTTATAGGGCTGCTTAGGGTCTACAGGGGTGCTTAGGGTCTAGAGGGCTGCTTAGGGTGTAGAGGGTCTATAGGGCTGCTTAGGGTCTAAGAGGGGGTAGAGGGCTGCTGTGGGTCTATATAGAGTCATCTTGCTGTCGGGCCCATTCGCGTACTAATTGATATGAAAATAAAGCCGTCAGTGGCCCCAGTCATTTACGTATGATCGT